AGCAATACTAAAGATTCAGTGCTTCAGCTCATTACTCGTGTTTATCTATTTTTCTACACACTGGAAAGTAGGTATTGCTAAAGAATCAGTGCTTGAACTCCATCGAGAACGCATACGTGATCGAGAAGTCGGAGTTTCAGAGATGGAGACCTGTTGTCAACACAATGATAGAACACACGATCGTGCAGATGTGGGAATAATACACTGATGATATATACTTCACGCATTGCTGTGAATCAATCAAGACAATTTCAGCAGACCTTGTTTCGTTATATTCTAATCATTATTAGTTCGTTTCTCCTTCATTTGAACCTACAGGATCCAATCAACTTTCCAGTCACATTTGTCATCATTTCATATGATATTGATTAATAACATGAATATCACTGTCATAACGGATCAATTTCAAGTGACAAGTATTGCATGCTTCATAGTGGTGTTTGTATGAACTAATGATACCTTTGTGCACAATGTCTGTCTGATTTCGAATTTCAAATACTATACATTCGTTAGTGCTCACCTAGTTTTTTCAACTTAGATTGCTCTGTTTCGGGATTTTTCTGGTTCGTACAGTAATTCAAATACTTCCAATTATTTTACTTATGCTATATACATTTTGTCTTTTGCCAATTATTCGTCTACTCAAAATTATTGAAAAACGTGTAGAACTCAATGTTAAGCTTTGTCGAACTCACCGGGATATGTCGTGAAAGTTCTTTGGCGTATTGCATTCTTGGACTTTTCGGTATACAGTTACTCACAAACCATGCAACTTTTTTTGATTTTCCAGTAGCAAAGTTTCTGGAAGGTAAAGGATATCGTGTTTCTGGTCCATGGTGCTTCATGTATGGCTCATAGGAACCGTACGGTGAATAAATCGTTGAATCCAGACGGAAGGAGATAGTGTGATTAATCTTGATGTCAGAGGGATAGATTCAAGTAAAATGATATCATGAATATTGAAATGAATGAGCAAGTTAGTAGTTTTGATATTAGAATAATGTTTTAGTAAAGTGGTTCGTGGGTAGTGTTTAGTTTTGTCGTTTTGGATTATAGATTAACGGTACAGACCTGAGTGTTTTGTCCCCCCTCTGGTGTGGTGGTGTATTTACAATGCTTAAGAGTTCTTCACTAAGATCAAATATCTGTTTAGTACTCCCTGGTTTTCGAAGGTACGAGTTTGTGTATTGTATCCAAAATAAAGGAATATTTACAAGTAGATTAGTCTCGCTCGTGAATAAACATGACATATGTAATTAGTGACATCTTTGATTCATGTGGACAAATCGAAATCTCTAACAATCTATTTATTATGCATATCTGTGTCAATTAGTTGCATAGATGCAAACGAAATGATAAAAAATCGTCCCGATAGTGGTGACATGAATGACACGTCGAAAGTATTTACGACAGGTTTTTATTGATTAGTTTAAGCGGATATTAGGCATATATATAATAATGATTAATGAACAAAGCATAGAGCTCACTTGTTCAATGTATCTACGACAACAGTGAAATCTACTGTTAACAAATGTCAGTATAAGAATTCGAATGAAGTAAGCTCCTGATAATGTCTTGAACGCAACCAAAGAACGATACTGACTAGTCTTCGGGTTTACAACCTGTACCTATTAAATCCCAACTACAGGTTTAAGGAAACATATTGTAAAGCCTTGTGGCATATTACATAGATATATCAGAATATCCTGTAATAGTGTGGTAGAATGAAAATATACTTCGAGTATGATTTGACTATCACTCCTTTATGTCGATATCCTGAACATATTGAAGAAATTTTCAATCAAATGGTATTTACTAATCTAAGTGAAGGCGAATATATTATATGTTTGCTAATCGAAAACAAGCTAAATGATTGATGGATGATCCTAGAGGTGAATGAATCATCGAGCGATATTTAAGCGATCAACATTTTAGCTAGTGTCTGTCTTGTGATCTAGTGGTCATCACGGTACAACGGAATATGCGAATTGTGACTGTTCTAATAGCATTGTTTGTTAAGTAAGTTAGTAAGAGGGCTTAACCAAAATTAACCATAATCGAAATTGGTTGTAAGATAGTTGCGATAATAGTGTAAAGTGATTAAATGAATTCTATGGAGTTCCGCCAAGAGGTGAACATTATTTTCATTTGAATAATTGAATCTTCAGTTGGAAACTATATAAAATTTCATGAACTAATCAATGAATATCCATTAAATTAATGAATGTCTTCATCTGAACTCGAACATTGACCACGAATTCGAAGCTGAAATTGCACACGAATTTATTTATTTATTTATTTATCTTCTTGCAAAACGTCTCTTATAAAATCAATCACAGTGTAACATGTGTGCTAAAGCAAACCAGGTTTAGAAGTTTTCGCTGGACAACTTCTACTGTTGTGTAACGCATAGGTATGTGTTTTACGGGAACTCATAAACTTCACACAATTAGTCCATTTCATGGATCAAAATAAAGAATGGTGACATTATTCGTTGAGTAACACGAATCTATTCACACTTCGTAGTCCTCGTCAGCTACATACAACCGTAATGAAATGATAAAGATTAGAAATGTTACTATGGTCAGAATTACTCACTTCATTTTCCAATGTACCTGCCATAGCAATATGTACAGGCGACTCTTCTATTAAGCTAAACCATAATTGCTCTGGAGGTCGAATTCCATTTGGCACTTTATCTTCTGTAAGTATAAGTGCATCAGCTTCTTGCCATCTGTTCATGTCAGTGATAACTGCACATTTCGAAGCATGACATTTTGAAAAGTTCATTGGTCTAAAAATTGTACGATGTCCATAGTTGAGAAACGTCTTCACCTAAAACATGAGTAGAATACAAATTCATGTGTTGATTTTCACAATTTATTGAGCATCATATCTAACATCTCTTTCATAAATAATTCAGTAATCAAACGCACAAAATATGATTTCGTCAATCTCATATTCAACTGAACAGTATATGTCCAAATGTTTTATGGAATGGATACATTTATGAGCAGCAATGGAAACTAGGATTTGAGGTTCTTTCCTTTGGAGATTCATCAAAATCCAGACAAGATTATAAGCAATGGGATAATTTACAACCTATCTATCAATGATATTTATCCTGTTGGTTAGTAATGATGGCGAGTTTTATTATTGATGTCATTCATGCAATTGATGCTATTTGAGTGAAACGATCACGAGATGTGAGCATCAATTTGATGGAGATTTTAAAAATGACGTTATTTCACACTTGCCATCCAGAAACATCTGAAGAACGTGTCTTCAACTTCTCATATATCTCACCATACACATCCCACTTACAAACATCATCTCTCAACCAAAGTTTCTGTGATGATTCATCAACAGATCTGGTGGTGAGTGGATCACTGTGACGTAAACTACTATGAAATTGAACAATGTACACAAATATTTTGCACACATAATCTCGGTCATTTTGAAATATCAATGAATAATTAATAAGGATCAGTTAATTAGACGACAGTCAGTCTATTCAACATCAAAGAATATTTCTAATAGTTGACCTACCGTCTTATTCACACCCAATGAATCATATAATTTCTCAAGTCTATTTTGTTCCAGACTATATCTCAGTGGGTATTTTTGAACGGACGTTTTACTGATAGGGGAATATATTTTGTGCAATATACTAGCAAGATCTGATTCTGATCCGTTTGGAACAGATATATTATTGCACGAAAATTCTATTGTTTTAGGTATTACATCATGATCGACTTGATTGATTCTCCATTGAAAGAGACTTGGTAAAATGTTGATCAACCATATGATCAACAGAATAATTGAAACACTGTACAACAATTTGACTGTCAATGTATATTTATCATTTCGTACAACTTTATCAAAACTTTCACGCATGATGTTTATTACAGAAGTGATTGGACGTCAGTTATAAGGATTGATAATCAGAAATGTGCAATACTATCTGAAAATTGTAAAACAGTCATTAAAGCACTGATAACAATCCCTGATTACAGTCTTTCATTAGTGAAATATCATAAGCCACATTATAACGCATTAATGTCATCTAGTTGAGAAAATATTCACGTAACATATACAATTGTTATTCATTGACAAATTGTTTATTGTCATTACAGTTGCATGCACACCAGATTGTAGTGTGAAAGTACATTAATGTCATCAGTGTTTGATTTGTGAATTAATCGACTACTATGCAATGCAAGCTTGAATCGAAGTCACTTATTGAAGCCTTTGATGAGATCACTAACCAATCAATGTGTGACAAGAGACAGACGACTGTTTTGTCGCTGAAATAGACGGTTCAGCAGTGTGCGTCTACGACAGTAACCTACTGGGAATCCAACCCAGTACATTGAGTCTCATGTTCGGATGCTGGATGTCTAGTCCATGAGGACGGCAACCAACAGTACACACGTTCGATAGTTCACATTACTGCGTATCATCCGTCTAATTGTAATTCTAAAAACTGATTGAACTGCATTATTCAATTGATAAAAATGGAATCGAAATACCATTTCCACAATATAGGCAGTTGTTTAACTGTCTCGTGAATTAGCAATGTTAAACATATCACTGGGAATCTTGTGTGAATTTGATAGTGTTCTGAAAATATGTTGTTACAAATTTCAATGTTTTCCATCACAGAGAGATTTGTTTGAATATCACTTGAATTGTGATTTGGCATTTTCAATCCGAGTTGTGATTAAGCTCAGTAAGAGAGTATTTTTCACATCAACTCATTACTGTCCGACTATTCCATTAACATTTCACTGATGGTATGTTCCAATCTAAATATGTTTCACTGAATATGTAAATCATTGTGTAACGATTGTATTGTCACTTCATTTATATTCACTGATTCAATAGTAGTTATCCAACATTAGAATTTACTTTCTTAATTTCTAAGTTGAGTAATAAGCAGATGTTACGTATAAGCAAATATGGATAGTGACTATCAAGGGAACCCATATCTCGAGCTAATATGCTTTCACGTAAATTGTAGTGGTGTTTTAGATCGATAAACTGAATTAAATCATGAACCAATAGTTATACACTTTATGTACGCGTCTACCAGATTCCTTAATCAACTCGGTATTTACAAGTTATTAGTTTCTATTCAACGTTTTCTATATTGAAAAGGGAATGGTGAACAACCTATTAATCTATACACCACATTTCAGAATGTTGATACAATATTTTAATGATACCGAAATCTCTCTTATTCTTCTATCATATATGAATTGATAGTTATTTTTGAGCAACAATAGTGTGTTCAGTATGGTATGCGTTCAAAAACATCATCTTCATTATAAATCTTATGGAAAGATAGGTATGATATTTTACAATAAATAATGGATTTTACCAAACATCAGAATTCTTGTCCAGAACTTGATACATTGATACATTCACAATATCTTTGAATATTATAGATGAGTTTTTCACAACCTAATGTAATATTGACATATACAGTGTATTAGTGAAACAATATTATCGTCCTAGATATAAGAATCCTATATGAACTTCATATATAACTTATCAAGATCAACTTAAGTAAATTGTGAAGAAGAAGAAGAAGAAGAAAAGGTTTTTTAATCGATTGAAATTGATTTTAATAAAATGACTACTCACTCACGATCAATTCATATATCTCAATGAAAATATCCAATGTAAATTAGTGATGTAACAAATTATCAACAATCGTTTTTTGAATATATTCAGTTTACATTAGCCATACCTTGGTCTATAGAGTGATTGTGTTGAAATTGAAATGAATGGTGTACATTTCGGTCGAAATATATATATATAAATACAGAGAGAGAGAGAGAGTATTACATTACGCCATTTCATTCATTAATTTTATTACATTATTACTTATTCAAATGATCATTGGTGAATTCAACTATATACCATGTATGCGTATAATAGATCCAAAGACCACAACAACAACAATACAATAGTAATGAATTCATTTCATTTCAGTATTATTTCATAAATAAATTGTTTATTTATTTGTTTGTTTGTTTGTTTGTTTTTGTGCTCTTAAATTCAGTATTAAGCATTAAATATTCATCATTTTTAAAATTATATGCATTAGATTGGCAACTATTACTTTATCCTTCAGCCTGTTTATTAGAATTATCGAATTTTTTCATATATAAATATTTTAATATGAACAAGAGAAAGTGAGTGATGATTCATCAACAGATCTGGTGGTGAGTGGATCACTGTGACGTAAACTACTATGAAATTGAACAATGTACACAAATATTTTGCACACATAATCTCGGTCATTTTAAAATATCAATGAATAATTAATAAGGATCAGTTAATTAGACGACAGTCAGTCTATTCAACATCAAAGAATATTTCTAATAGTTGACCTACCGTCTTATTCACACCCAATGAATCATATAATTTCTCAAGTCTATTTTGTTCCAGACTATATCTCAGTGGGTATTTTTGACCGGACGTTCTACTGATTCGTCTCGTGATAACTGTTACATTGGTTTGGCAGTATAACATATATTTCATGAGTCTGGAAATTTTCCCAAACACATTTTCCCATGTGATTCGCTGGAAAATCTTTATCATTTGGAAATGACACAATCTTTGATACAAACGTTCTTCAAAACCTCTCCTCCATCTATTTACGAATTATTTTCGAAAATGTCTAAATGCTTGCCAATCAATTAAGGGCGTGTAGTGACATTTTAGCTCCAACCTTACAACCCATCAATTGACGGTCATCAATTACATGACGAGTTCATTTATGACTGATGATTTTCTCGTCTCATCACAACTAGAACTTATGACTCGCAGCACCACAATTATTAATTGCTAGTAGTGGAATCCAATGTGATGTGTGATTCCCGCCTATTTGGGAAACGTCAGCTAGATGTACCTGCACATCAGAGTTCATTTTCACTCATCGACTCGAACACATTGCCATTCACTTCAAACGCCATCTCATTGTCCACTTAATGGCAATAATGCTTTCAACATGTGGATTATCGTCAGTTGCTTAGAACACAGAAACAAAAGCAACAATTGTTTATAAACAATCTTTACAAATATGATAGTTGTCGAAAATACTTATTGGCTTTAAAAACTCAGTGTCATTAGGAATTTTCCAGAATGTGAAAATATTTCCTAATCGACTAACAATTCATAATGCTACCTACACAGCTCACATACCAACATACGTCCGTTAGCCCTCGTAGAACATGGGCTACCGATCAGGATTAAAAATTTTTGAATGCTAAACAGAAATGTACAATAATGATATTGTATAATAAAAGTAAGCTTTGTTCTAGATGTTTTCTAGTCTTCTCCTGTGTATACTGGAAAATAGTAATGCGTTCGAACTAAGTGAACCTTGAATAGTACACAAACCACATTCTTGTTTTTCCCAAAATCATGAATTTGTTCAAACAAAAAGAACAAATGAGAATTCATTTCAATGTATGACTCCATATTGTGACTGACCATCAAGCACTGAATTTTACCTTGTTTTAGATTCATCTTCGTACTGCAAAACTCATCCTAGGAATTTTAATGACCTCATTTTCTCATTGTTTGTACGTATTATGAAATATTGAGACGTTCTCGTTGACATGCACTCAATTGTTGGTTTGTTCGTGTGTTTGCATTAAGTTGTGCTTTATGTGAGAGTGCAAAATACGATTCTTGATGGAAAGCACATATTGGTATTTTGATGTAGCGGATTCATTTGTTGTTGTTATATTTCTATCTGGGTCTAAGATTGGCATATTACACTTAGAGTTGAATACATGCAAACACATGAACAAGTGATGAGCACTGAAGAAGAAAGAGAATAAGAAGTACACAAAACTACATTTTGAATTCGAGACAGATTTCTATTGAACTTTCATTGATAATATTATCCATATTATGACTAGATTATCATCAAACTACGTGGATTTATTATCATTGTTCATAATTCACCCATGGTTATCAACTTGAGAGGACGGAGTCCGAGCTTCAAATTGTCGTACAGGTTGAAATCTTATTTAATTGATTCAGTGTTAACTTCCCTAACTTAGTATACCACGACAGTTGAAATAATGTAACGATTGGTCTCCTAATAGATGAAATTCGCAAATATTGTCTGACATCAAAAGCGATGTTGTTTAGTTAAAACTCTAGAACAGAGAAATTCTGATAAATGTAGTAGATAATCGTAATCTTACTATGTAACGTCTTACCTGTACTCTTAGAATTGATAGATTGAATACTTACAGGTTACCTATTTAAACGGATGTCAAATTTGTTTGGAAATCTGTCTTGGTAAAATGACTGTGGTATGGATACTAGGACTTTGTGGAGGTTACTGTGTCAATCAATATTTTATACAAAAACTGAATACACGGGTGGATTAAAAAAAGGGAATAATCGATATGCGAAACTATGAACTTACATGTGGAAAGAAAAAAGAAAGCTGAATGAAGTCACTCAACAATAGTAAAATGAGTTAAGTTTATTAGTCATGAATAACATTTGAACAGACCAGTCAGCGATATATTTGCAAGATGTTATGGTTGTTTCTAACCATATCGAAACATGTACAAATGGATGTTGTTGATAAGACAAGCAACTAGAATTTAACAGAGAATCGGTTTTTGATGAGGGGCGAATAGATAAATTTTACTATTCTTCTCTGAAGCTTGCTCTTAACCTGACAGTACAAATGCATTTTATCTTCAACCCGACATACTCAATCAAGTATATGTTTTAACACATAAACTACTAGAGACAGTTGCAGTGAAATCTTATTGGTTCCAAGTATTTGTTTTACTCCTATTTAATCTGGGGGTGATGAAATTCTGAAAATGAAGATTAGTAGGGAAAATTTGAAG